GCTATGAATCACTTAGCTATCTCTGATTAGATTCCTTTGTTAGATTTAGGGTTCAAAGAGTTGTGAGGGATTAGCCACAACTATGGAATGTTGAGTTATGATATTCATTATCCAAATGAACCCTAATGCTTACTCTAGAGTAGCTAACTAGAGTATGATCATGGAGTGATTTAACTTGTTAATCATTATCCTGAAATCATTTGGCATAAGCTTAGATCCTCTAGGGATGTGCGAGAGCCGGTCTATGATCTTGGTGAACACAGTTTCGATTCGATCTTATGCTATATCGATCGATACTCCTATAGAGTTATCGATCGACGGCAACCCATATCGTTGAATATCGCTGTCAAAACATCGGTCGATATTACCGACAATAAGATCAATGGATGAGTCTATTTAGCGACTGCTATTGGATCTGTCTATGAATCGAAGTTCTTATATATCTTGCAAGCAACTTACTAAAACATATGTAGCATTATAATCCTGATTATCTGAATAGCAACCTTGAATCTAACTACTTTCTTTTATTGTTTTAAACCAAAACCTATTCTCTTGAACAACTTATCATTGCTCACAACTGCAATTTACTATTTTAAACTGAATCAACCTAGGATAATCACTTAAGATTACATCTTTTGTGTTCCTCAGTTCCATGTGGATTCGATCCCTAAGTACTACAACTGAACCTCTTATTTGAGAGAGTAATTCACTCCTTAGGGTTAAATATTTGAGTGATATCAGGCTGCTAGGAATGCACCGGAAACCACACGACGTGCGGTGCTCTTCCAGCTGCTGGACCCTACCTCCGGCTGAGCCATTTCCAGGGTGAACAGGCTGTTAAATAGAAAAGATAACTCTTCCCGGAATTTCCGCCGACGTCTCTGGACTCCCTAACGTTGCCGTCAATACCATGTCCCGGTTCCGGAATTTTAACCGGATCCCCTTTCGAAGTTCGTGAATAAGTGCTATTAGACGGGTTTCCCCGACTCTTAGGATCGACTAACCCATGTGCAAGTGCCGTTCACATGGGTCTTTTCCCATATTTGGCCTTCAAGTTCTTATTTGAATATTTGCTACTACCACCAAGATCTGCACCGACGGCTGCTCCGCCCTAGGTTTTTCAGCGACCGCCGCGCCCTCCTACTCATTGAGGCCTGGCTCTTGCACTGACGGCCGAGTATAGGTCGCGTGCTTCAGCGCCATCCATTTTCGGGGTAGTTAATTCGGCAGGTGAGTTGTTACACACTCCTTAGCTGATTTCGACTTCCATGACCACCGTTCTTCTGTCTTAATCGACCAACACTCTTTGTAGGTTCTAGGTTAGCACGCAGTTGGGCACCATAACCCGGCTTTCGGTTCATCCCGCATCACAAGTTCTACTTACCAAAAATGGCCACTTGGAGCTCTCGATTCTGTGGGATGGCTCAACAAAGCAGCCACCCCATCCTACCTATTTAAAGTTTGAGAATAGGTCGAGGGCGTTGCACCCCGATGCCTATAATCATTGGGTTTACTCGATATAACTCGTTTCCACCTCCCGCAGCTCCACCTGCTCCCGCTCCCGCTCCCTCTCCACCAGGTGGTGATCAGGTTCATCATGATTTGCGGGTACCTCCAAATGCACCATATGCTGCATATACTGTGGAGGATCTTCTTGCCCAGCCGTGGTAAGAGGGTTTAGATATTCTGAACTCCGATCGTCCGCGGGGTACATATTGGTTAGTTTTTTAAAAATCTTAATTTATTTTTTTTGTTTTAACAAGTTGATATTATTTTCAGGTTTGGAACAAATAACCACGTCAGCCGGAGTGTTTCATACACAACGAAGAGGTATTTTTTCGAGACTCATCCTGACAACATGAAGACAACATGGTTTAAAATGTTTGCAGTAAATATTTTTAAAATATTTAATATTGAATTTTAATTTTATATTATTTTCTTAATATTTTTAAAAAAATTCTTTTTTTTTTGTTTCAGCAAAAGTGGCATTGGTCCTTATCGATCAACGAGAAGGTGAAGGATGCTTTTGCAGCAAAAGCCAAGACTCGCCTTTGCAACACCGTCTCGGATTGGAAGGACAAGTGGAAACTCTACGGTTATGACGTGAAGCCCAAGGAGATCTCGAAGTTTGTATGGGATTGTCTCATCCGCTATTGGAGTCTGCCTTCCACAGTCAAAAAGTCCAACTCGTGCTCTTCTTCCCGAAGAACGAAGGACAAATACGGCAATGACCTCATGCTTCATAAAACCGGCCAAACACCTCACGCTGAGATCCGTCTAGATGTTGTAAGTTTTAGTTTTAATATTAACTTATTTTAAATTTTATTTATTAACTATTTCTTAAAAAATTAACTATTTTTGTTTGTAGGCCGAGAAGACCGGAGTCATGCCATCTATGACTGGACTATTCAGGATGACTTACCCCACATCAGTTGGAGTTTTTGTGGATCTACGGTCCGAAAAAACTCTAAGACGATGTGGTTTATGGGTTGAGGAGAGGAAAACATAGCTAACCCAGCAGGCTCCCGATGGATTACCCGTCACATTAACTACAGAAGAAGTCGACCAAATTTTCGAAGAGGTAATATTTTCGAATAAATTTAATTTTATATATAATTAATATAATTAATATTAATGTATTATATAATTTTTTTTGGAAAAAGGTGGCTCCTAGAAAGAAGGGTCGGACAGTGGAAATAGGCTCCGTGAACGAAGTCCCAAGGGGAAACTTCTTCATACACTTCGAGAGAGGATGAGGAAACTTCTCAGATGCGGGCTTGCATGGACTTCTAGCAGGAGCGTTTGGACTCATTTGAAGATCTGCTGGACATTATGGCGACCGGAAACCCGGCTATGCAGAGAGAATTGAATGAAACATGAGCGGCTCTTGGAATGCAATAGCATCCTTCCGAGTCAACCGGTCGACGCGGCCCTGAACCAACCCGTCCCGACGAGTACCTCGGCGATAACATGCTATAGTTGTTTTTTATTTTTTTCGTTTTGTATTATAAATTTTTATATTATTTTATAACTTTTATATTATGGCTTTTTAAAACAATTAGTTTTTAAAAATATTTGGTTTTATAAATTAAATTATGTATTTTATCAATTATAAAAAATATAAACTATATGAATACCAAATAACTTCTTCGTAAATTTTACAACGAGTTAACATTGAATTTCTCGTAAATTTTACTACGAGTTTACATGGAAGACTAGTAAAATTCTCGTAAAGTTACGAGGAGTTAACATGGAATGTTTGCGAGTACATTACGAGGAAACACAACGTGGAGTTTACGATGAAATGTAATGTGTACTTTACGACGAAGACTTTCCTTGTATTTTACAACGACATTTATTCCTTGTAGCGTTACGTGGACTTTACGATGAATAGTCCATTACGATGAGCATTTAACAACGAAACGTCTTTCTTTGGTAATTCGTCGTAATTGTCCTATTACGACAAATTAACAACGAATACAACCCTCGTAAAAATATGTTTTCTTGTAGTGTATATGCAAATGTTATATACCATTTTCGTATATGTGTTACATCCCACTACTAATATATTATCTATATTACAAAAATTGAAGTAATTTTGGTACTGTTTGGAAATAAAGATAGTAGGATAAATGAAAATTGTTTGGAAACATGGATAGTATATTACGTATTTCTTTTTATTTGCACAATTATTCATTGCATTTACAATAAATTACACACTTCTTTTGTACTTTTTTAATTTATAGATTTTGATATTATATTTAAAATCAGTTTAAATTAATTAATTACAATGGTATTTATATCTTTGTGGTGAAAATAAAAAAACAAACTGAAATATATAGTATAGATTATATAAAATAGTTATTAAATATAGTATTACCTTATTTCATTTATTCAATTATAAAATTTTGAGATTTCAGTTTTCAAGAAAACAAAATATCATCTATATTATTAAAATTGAAGTAAATTTTGGTACTGTTTGGAAATAAATATAGTAGGATAAATGAAAAGTGTTTGGAAACATGAATAGTATATTATGTATTTCTTTTTATTTGCATATTAATCCATTGCATCTCAAGATACTTATTTATAGACCGGGAAATTGTGCTCAAGTGGTAATGAGGTAGAGGTTGAAACGCTAACACGTTTCAGCTTTAGTTCACTTACTACACGAAATTAAATTACAATTATTCTTAATCACCTAACATGAATTTAGGTCTCTGCTTTAGTTATTTATAAATTTACTATCCTTGATAGAAATATACTGAATTTGAGCAAACTTAACAAATAACTAACAAAACTAGAATATCTATAGAAAAATTCATTGAACTTTTAGTTCAAATTTATTATTAATACAATTAATCAAAACTAAAAAATTGAGGTAACAGTTATTTTGGATAAGCAGTTAGTACATTTCAACTTTAAAACATTTTATCTTCTTCAAGATTTATGATTTTTTGAAAAGAACATCATATTTTAATCAAAAATACAGATTAAATTAATAATATTTTTTTATCAAAAATAAAATCTTATACTTTTATTTTAAATTTTGATCATATCTTATAATACATGTAAAACCTAACATATTAAAAACTAAAAGTTATGAGTATTGAAATTATATTTCATAGGTTTAAACTTTGATTATATTGGATAACATACAATAACTTCTTGTCTTCCATTTATAGATATAAAATATAAAATAAACGTTAACATCGAGAACAAAATTTGAAAATGATAGTTTATAAATAATATTATGTATAGTGCGAGTCAAAATTTTCACCCAAAAGTTTAAAATCCGCATAATTTACTATTTAAAATTGTTCATGTAAATATTAATTATATAAAATTTTAAAATTAGTTTAATAAAAACGTTATCATAAAAACTTAGTAATATGTTTTGAAGATCAAAATCTTGTAAATTATTAAATCAAAGACACTCTGGCAACTTATTTAATAAAAAGGAAAACAAAACTATAATGTTCTTCTCAGAAGACACAAACCAGAAACGAAACGCATTTTGTGATACAGAGAGAGAGATATCACCATTCACTCCACCACCTGATTTGCATCAGTTTCTTCTGGAATCGTACTTAGACTGATATGAAATGAATCCAATTCGACAGAGAGTAGCAAAGAGTGTCTGATCTGATCGCTGATTCTCATGGCGGGACGGGTCTACGAAGCCTGGAAGGGAAGCAATGTAAGGTTTTGATATTTATATTATATCATTTTCCCATTTCTGGAATCTACATTACTCGAATTATCTGCCTTTCTCAAGAAATATGAATTTAGGGGTTGCCTTTAATTTCCTAATAATTTTCAGTTTTATCACCATACTGTAAATTCTTGCTATCATTTGTCTCTTGGATCACTCTACAAAGCATGGACATGCATTTTATATGAAACCATATTTTCAAATTTCTCCCAATGGTCAATTATCATCTCCTCTATCATTGCCTATTTTGCAGAAGTTTTTATTTGGTGGGAGACTTATATTTGGCCCAGATGCTTGGTCTCTTCCTTTTACGTTGTTGCTCATCATAACTCCAGTTACTTTGTTCTCTGTTTTTGTTGCAACACATCTCCGCCACAAGTTCTTTCCAAACACTGCAGGAGATGCCATCTTAGTAATAGCGATTCTGTTTACTCTTTTTGTAAGTCGCTCATTTTTAAATTCCATATATGTTGTCTTGTTTACATGTGTTTCTTGTTTATTTGGGACACAAATCAACTCTTTTGAATGCTGCTTATTTAAATGCTTTATAGTTTGTATCACTAAATCATACCACATTAACTTAAGAATCTATACAAAAAAAAGGAATGAAATTCCACACCACAACAGGTATCTTGTGAGTTGTTATGTTCTTTCTTTTTTTGATAAAAATTTGTTGTGTTCTTTCTTCTAATTTAGATGTATTATGTTTAACAAGCTAAACGTTAGAACTTCTCAGTACTTTTTCTATGTGTTTCTAATGGGTAGGTTTAATGTTCTTCCTTCGTTTACTTTGTTTAGTCGCATCACTGGTTTTTGATAGGTACTGATCCTCCTCTTCCTCACTTCTGCGCGAGATCCTGGAATCGTTCCAAGAAACTTGCATCCGCCAGAGGAAGAACTTTCCTATGAGACAACTGTGTCAAGTGATGGAAGACAAACACCAACTGTTCAAATTCCAAGGACAAAAGAAGTCATGGTTTATGGCGTTCCCGTTAGAGTTAAATATTGCGATACATGCATGCTTTATCGACCTCCTCGTTGCTCACATTGCTCTATTTGCAACAACTGTGTTGAGCGTTTTGATCATCATTGCCCTTGGGTAGGCCAATGCATTGGAGTGGTAAGCTGTATCCAAAATGTATTTAAAGTTCATTACTTGTTATGTGGGTTGAAGATTCGGACTACTTCTTGTTGACATTTTTTTGTTCCTGTTTTTTTTTTTGGACTAAGGGCATTTTTTTTTGTGTTGTTGGCAGAGAAATTATAGGTTCTTCTTTATGTTTGTTTCCTCTGCAACTCTTCTCTGCATCTACGTGTTCTCCATGTCGGCTTTATACATAAAATTTCTGATGGATAACAACCAAGGTACTGTGTGGAGAGCAATGCGAGAATCACCTTGGTCTGTTATGCTGATGATATATTCCTTTATCTCTCTATGGTTTGTTGGAGGGCTTACTGGTTTCCACTTATACCTTATTAGCACAAACCAGGTTAGTTTTTTTAATTTAGAGGGGCTTTTATTAATATCATCTGATAGCTAAAATTGTGATTCTGTTCAGACAACCTATGAGAATTTCCGTTACAGATCAGACAATAGAATCAACGTTTATAACCGCGGGTGTTCTAAAAATTTCCTTGAGACATTTTGCTCGAAAGTTAAGCCCTCAAGGAACGACTTCAGAGCGTTCATGAGAGAAGAACCTCCGAGGAGTATCACATTGGCTACCACATGGGAAAGACCAGGAGAAGAAGAAGAAGAAGAAAGTTTGGACTTGGAGGAACGGCGTCAGAAAGTGGAAGACGATCTGGACATCGACCAAGATGTTATGAAACTACAGCAGCGTTCTAATGCAGAAGAAGGTAGCGATCCAGCGCATCAGAGGGTCGAGATTGACCAAATAAGAGTTGGATCTAGTGAGAGAGCACCAACGATTCGATCTGAAGTGAGGCACGCGAACGGGGGAACAAGAAGTAGCACAAAAGAGGATGTAACTAGTGGTTCTTCAGTCAGGGAGAGTAGAAGCTATGCAGCTGCAGAGGAAGGACGGTGATGAATGAACAATGGGAGTAAAGAGATTTTCTATTGCTTACTGAACTTTATTGTTTTAATTTTTTATTATATTTACGGGTTTAGACCCTCGTGGTCTGGTTTGGGAGTTGTGAACATTTACGGTGGTTTGGGCAACTGTGAATAAGTTTATAGTAAGCTTGGATAGTAAATTAGGTTACTCTATCCGCTTAAATTTTCTATAGATGTTTTTGGGAACCATTGAGTATTTGTAGAACTAGAAACTGTCCAAATTGGGAAAGCTTCTTATTTTTTGTCATGCAAATCCAAATTGGGAAAGCACAAGCTTAAAACAATGGACGAAATTTGAAACCAGATCGACGTTCTCGAGTTATAAACTGCCATTGTTATATTTATACCCATAGTTAACAAAAGTTAAAACCAAAAGCTGATTCCCAGCAATTAAAGAGGTCAAAAGGAATAATATCTTTCTGTCGACGAAATGGCTTCGTCCTCTGATTTTTTCGTTATCATTACTATGGTAATCTTGTCACACATCGACGCCAATAGCTGATGAGTCAAAAACTAGAGAGGCCCAAGGAAAACTAGTTGCATCTTCTCCGCGCAAGCGCAGAGCCGGAATCATTGTTGTTTGCGTATATTTTTTCGATTGTTAGTTTAGTGAATTTTTCTAATAACACCAAATAATGATGAAGTAAAGAATGTAGCAAAAGTATAAACTGAAACATTGTATATATAATGTGTTAAATATTATTTATATACGAAGTAAGGTTTATAGGAATAGTTAAGCTATGATATAATTTTAGTGTGTAAAAGTAGGTGTTTCTTTTGTTTTTGTTTTTTTTTCTCTAAATAGTTGTTATACCGGAGTCTGAAGATCAAAACTTGATACAGTTCTTTATTTATTGTATTTATATTTTCACTAAACGATTTAACAATTTGAAAAACAAAACCCGAACTTACAAAAAACCATATACAAAAACCTATTTAAGTTAATATTTGTTGTTTGGGTTTCATTAAATAGGTTTTTGTATACGGTTTTTTGTAAGTTTGGGTTTTGTTCATGAAGGATGTGGCATTTTTATTTACGGCGTTGTCGATTGTAGGAATCCATTTGCCGGAGTCTGATAAATCATTAGAGTCAGTGGTGGAGAATGCTTTTATACCGGAGGTCAAAACTTGATATAATTCTTTATTTCTTGTATTTATATTTGCGCTAAAAAAATTTATCAATTTGAAAATAACCTTAATGTAAGTTAATATTTGTTGTTTTGTTTCATTAGATAGATTTTTGTATATGGTTTTTGGTAAGTTCGGGTTTTGTTCACGAAAGATGTGGCATTTTTATTTACGGCGTTGTCGACTATAAGAACCCATTCGCCGGAGTCTGATAAACCATTAGATTCGGTGGTGGTGAATGCTTTTATACCGGAGGTCAAAAATTGATATAATTCTTTATTTATAGTATTTAAATTTGTATTAAACAATTTATCAATTTAAAAATAACCTTAATTTAAGTTAATATTTGTTGTCTCGTTTCATTAGATAGGTTTTTGTATATGGTTTTTTTGTAAGTTTGGGTTTTGTTCATGAATGACATTTTATTTACGACGTCGTCGACTGTAGAAATTCATTTGCCAGAGTCTAATAATCCATTAGAGTCGATTGTGAGAAATGCTTTCAATGAAATTATAGTAGCTACTAAAAATGTAAGAGAAATTACATATCTATTTAATAAATAATGAAAAATACTTAAATGTTGTTTTTTTTTTTTAATTTGATTTCATATACATAATTTTTTGAAAATATATATTAGTAAATATGTCCTTATAGAAAATATACATTATAGTGCTGCTTTTTTTTTTGGACTGTTCGTTTTTTGATCTATTTTTAATTATTTTTTTGCGTTTGAACCCGTTAAGATGTAGAATTTGTCCCACTATTTTGGGTTTTAAAACAATAAGCCCAAAGAAAAAAAAACATTAAAACATTAAAACATTAAAACAAAAAGCCAATATGTTAATAACCCAAAAGAAAAAACCAAAATTACATGCTAGCAGCGTGGTTTGAACCCATGCATTTGCGAATTTAATTAAGTGCTTTATACCATTCAACTAAAGTGTAATTCATTGTCTGTAACCATTTTAAAATGACTATGGACTTTTAAAATTTAAACATGCGAGACCCATAAAATGATGACGTGGCACATTATGGAGCCTAGAAACTCTACTATTATAATAAAGACTAGTTGCATCTCCCCCGCGTAAGCGCGGGGCCGGGATCATTTCTGTTTGTGTATTTTTTCCGATTGTTGGTTTAATGAATTACTAGATGATAACCTGCGCGCATGCGCGGAGTGGAATTTTTATACTAATATTTATTCATTAAATGGTTTTTAACATTTTGCAATACTACAGTATTTATCGATTATAAAATGATGAATACAATTGTTGGTATCTTAAATCATCATAGATCTAGACGTTTGAGACTTCGTCGGTTTAGTTTGATTGACACGTATTTTCAGATTTTGGTATTATTCTCATAAATCCTATTTGAACTTTACTAATTATTGGATTTGATTCGATTTGATCTTCTCAATTCAGTTTGGATTGGATTGTAACCAATATCTGAAATCATGACAAAAAATATTTGTTAAATATTAAAAGTTGACAAAAAATCAAAATATTTAAAATATTAATAAATATAATTTAAAATTAGTTAAATTATCTAAACAAATTAAAAGATATTAAAAAAGAAGCAAATAAAACAAACTACAAAAATCATTTGAATACTATAATTTGTATCTACTAATTAACCTCAAACCATTTCGCTGAAATTTTTAAATTAACATATTTATAGTATGAATATCTACTAATGATACTTCATATTCGTACGATATATGATAATTTGTATCTTCTTTGAAAAAAACAAAGTTAAACCATTGATCATAAAATTTTCAATGTGAGATTTTACTATTTTTAGTTATTTATGGTCGTTTAAAAAAATTAAAAATATAACCTATAAGAAAAAATTTAATTTTTAATTATATATTTAAATGTGATTGTTTAATTTATTTTAATAATTTAAAATTAAACAAAAAAGAGAGAGGATACAAAAATATGTATTATTCATAATCATTATTTACATATATATGTTAATCATATTAGGTAATTCCGTAGTTTTTATTTAAGGAAATAAAATATATCGTTTTATACCTAGCAGAGTTGGTCCCTTAAAAATGTCTATATATTATAGTCTAAATGCAAGAAATTAAATGTTACATTATTTCATTCCTAGAAAAGTTGGTCCATTAAAAAATTAAAGCTGGGGAGCTCTGTGAGCTTGACACGTAAGCATGCTCTCCAAGGTTGTGCATTTATGAATGCTTCAGGATTCATATATAAGGGATTCTAATAACACCAAATAATGATGAAATGGGAAGAATGTAACAAGAGTGTAAACTGAAATATTGTATACCTAATGTGTAGAATATTATTTATATCCGAAGTAAGGTTTATAGAAATAGTTAAGCTATAATATAGTTTTTAGTGTGCAAAAATAGGTGTTTATCTTGTTATGTTTTGTTTTTTGCTGTAAATAGTTTTTATACCCGAGTCCGAAGGCCAAAACTTGATATAGTTTTTTATTTATATTATTTTTATTTGTACTAAACGATTTATCAATTTGAAAATAACCTTAATTTAAGTCAATATGTGTTGTTTGAGTTTCATTAGATAGGTTTTTGTATATGGTTTTTTTGTAAGTTCGGGTTTTGTTCATGAATAATGTGACATTTTTATTTACGGCGTTCTCGACTGGAAGAATCCATTCGCCGGAGTTTGATAAACCATTATAGTCGGTGGTGTGGAATGCTTTTATACCGAAGGTCAAAACTTGATATTATTATTTATTTAAACTCCCTTTATTTCATAATAAGTGTCATTTTAGACTTCAGTACACAGATTAAGGAAACAATAAATTCCATATAAATACCCCAACTAAATTTTATTAAGCTTTTTAATACCCAAACTTTTTCACTACCCAATTTAATACCTCAACTAATAATTTTTCCCACTTTAATATACAAACATTTATAATTGTGCCCATTTTAATACCCAAACTTTGTTTATTTTAATTAACAATACTAATAAGTTTCAAACAAAATTTAAAAAAATCTCCAAATCTAAGATAAAATATTTAAAATTTGTAAGTTTACTCTAAGATTTAAGAAAGAAGATAAATAAACTCTGGAGAAAATTTAAATGTTTAAAAAAATAATTTTGAAGGTAAAAATAATAATTTACTTTTTTATTTCAGAAAACAAACTAAATTCAATATATAAAACTTAAAAAACTTATTACAAGACTTAAGATTATAAAAAAATTATTTAATTTCATTTCTCTAACATATAATAAAATCAATTTTTTTGGTAAAGTTTAGAAATTTTTAAAATTTTATTGGAAACTTATTCGTATTACTAATTAAAATAAACAAAGTTTGGGTATTAAAATGGGCACATTTATAAAAGTTTGTGCATTAAAATGGGAAAAATAATTAGTTGGGGTATTAAACTGGGTAGCGAAAAAGTTTGGGTATTAAAAAGCTTAATAAAATTTAGTTGGAGTATTTATATGGAATTTTCCCTATTTTCTATATAAAAACATAATTACCTATCCGCCTAACCTTATTTCAACCAATAGAAAAATAAATTACAGAATAAAATTAATAAATTTTCATTGAAAACCGAAAACGACACTTAATTTGTAACGAAAAATTTTCTCATAAACGACACTTAATATGAAACAGAGGGAGTAGTATTTATATGTGTACTAAACAATTTATCAATTTGAAAAAACCTTAATTTAAGTTACTATTTGTTGTTTGGTTTCATTAGATAGCTTTTTCTATATGTTTTTTGTAAGTTTGGGTTTTGTTCATGAATAATGTGCCTTTTTTATTTACGACATCGTCGACTGTAGGAATCCATTCGCCGGAGTCTGATAGTCCATTAGAGTCGATTGTGAAAAATGCTTTCAATAAAAGTATAGTAGCTATTAAAATATAAGAGAAATTACATATCTATTTAATAAATAACGAAAATACTTAAATTTTGTTATTTTAATTATATTTCATATACACAATTTTTTGAAATTATATTAGGAATATGTCCTAATAGAAAATATACATGATAGTGCCAGTTTTTTTTTTTTTTGGACTGTTCGTTTTTGATCCATTTTTAACTGTTTCGGGTTTGAACCCGTTAAGCTTTATGATTTGTTCCACTATTTTGGACTTTAAAACAATAAGTCAAAAAAACA